CTACAAACCCTCTCTGTCCCATTCTCCTGTTGACATTGAAGAGAAGTACATCAACCCCCCCCCACACACACACCACACACACACACCACACACACACACACCACACACACACCACACACACACACCCCACACACACCAGCGCTTCCACATTTGGCTCTTGCCTTTCCCAAAGAAAGCTAGAATGATGTCCATGTTCAAATTTTAAAAATTTTATTTTGAAAAAAAATTTTATTGTAAAGAACTTTACATGAAAAAGGTTAAATTGCCCCACATGGAGGGTAGATATGGATCCCAGCCCCAGGGGTCAGGATGGAGCAAGACCTGGTCCCCCCAATGCAGACAGGGCATCCCAATGTTTCCAGCAAGCCGGGCATCCCTCCCAGTTAAGTCTTAGCTATAACTATTCTCACTATATTAGTCCCCCCCCACCTAGCAGCTTGGCTGCCCCTGCCCCCACCACCCCAAACCCCAACTTCCTGTTGCTCTCAGCCTCAAGCCAGGCCCAAAGGTTTGCAGCCTCCTCTCTGCCAGTGAGGGGCCCGGGAAAAGGCCCCAGAGGCCATAGCGACTGACTGTCTTGCCCCACCTTGCCGCCCCCTCCCTGCGGCCTCTCCCTTCCTTCCCAGTCTCCTGCCACGACTCTCCTACCCAAGGCTGCCAGGGCCCCTGGGGAGGCTCTGCCGGGAGGGGCCTCCAGGGGGTTAATTTGCTGTCATCTAATTAGCATTTGTTGTACCTGGGAACTTTCTCTGGGTAGAGAGAGACCCGGGGAAGCAGCAGGAATGGGTGAGATGATGCAGAGCTTTGAGGAGAGCCCTGTTCAGTTCCTCCCTGGCCTGGCAGGACCCCTCCAGGCTTCAGCTCTCACGGTGCCGAGGCCAGGGGCCTGCCTTTGCCAGTTCTTGGGCTTGGGGGAACATGGGTCAATGAAACACTGTGTGTATGGGGGTTGCTGAGGAGGGGAGGCAGCAGTTTTGGTCCTGGGCTCCCAGTTCCCAGTCTTCCGGGCTTGGACATGAGGACATCCCCAGCTGGCAGCGATGTGGCCTCACGGAGCCAGCCTTCAGAGACCTGGCCCAGTCCCTGCCTGGGTGCTGAGATGTCCACGGGCCTGTCTTGGGAGGCAGTTCTGGGCCCTGACTTGGGCACTGTCCGGAGATGGGGTGGGGCCTGACCTCTTACAAGAAGGCCCCCACACTGGCCCAGTCCTGCAGGTCAGCGGCCAGGGTGGCATCCCCCGCTTCAAAGAGCGGCTCTGGGGGCAGGCAGCCACTGCCGCCCTCATCCCAGGGATGCTGGAGGAAGGATGTGGCCAGAAAGGTCTCATCGAAGTCCAGGCTGTCGGCAGCCTGCTCCCCCGGAGGGCCCCAGGTAGCAGGGCAATCGATGTGGCGGCCGTGGACGGTCAGGTCCACATCTCCGTGAGAGGCGGGGCTCAGCGGGGGGCTCAGCTCCAAGGCCTCCAGCGAACTCAGCTCTTCACCCAGCGTGCCAGCCTCGAAGATGGCCTCCCAGTCAAAGTTGCCTTTGAGGGGTTCCAGCTCCCCCTGCTCCTCCTGGGTCAGCAGCAACGTGCTGGGAGGCCTCAGGACCTTGGCCACCCTCTTGGGCAGCGGCTGCTTTCGCTTGTGCCCCAGCCTGCCCTCTCCTGTGCCCCAGCCCCCCTCCCCGGTGGCCTCCTCGAACTCCCGCAACAGCTGCTGGGCCTCCGTGTTCACGGTCAGAGGCCCCCCCCAGGGGGCAGAGCTGGGCTCCTGCGAGGCCTGGCGGGCGAAGGCTGGGTGGATGTGGACCGGGGGCAGCCTCCGCTTCTTGAAGGCCCCACTGAGGAGGCGCTCTGCGTACTGGGGGTCGATGCGCCAGAAGCCCCCCTTGCCGGGCTCGTCCTTCTCTCGGGGCACTTTGATGAAGCATTTGTTCAGGGACAGGTTGTGGCGGATGGAATTCTGGGTACAGCGAGAGAACAAGAGAAAAAGCACAGGGGGGTCAGGGGGGTCAGGGGAACAGCGGCGGAGTGGCACCGGGTGCTCCTGCCTGCTCCCCGCATGCACCATTCCTCTGCCTGGGGAGGGATGGATCAACCCGGTGCCCTGACCAGGCGGCTGTAGCTCTGGGACTCTGGGACACCAGCCACAGGGCATAAGGAGCCCGAGTGCGGTGGGTTGGGGGGGGGGGTGCTGGCTTTTGTTCTCTGTTGCTGGGATATCTGCCTGCTCAGTCATCCGAGCTCTGAGCCACAGGGTGGCTCTCAGTGCCACCCCCTGTCATCCTCCCTCCCTCCCCTCCCCTGTTGCCTGCAGGTCCTGGCCAAAGCCCTCGGCTCCCCCACGGCCTGGACTGCCGGCTCCCCTAGGGCCTGGACTGCCGGCTCCCTCTGCCTGGCTGGTTCCCTGTTTGTGAAGTGGGTGGGTTAAGGGAGGGGGCTGGGGGGCGAGGGATTGTGTGTGTGTGTGTGTGTGTGTGTGTGTGTGTGTGTGTGTGTGTGTTGGGAGATTAGTGACTCCTTGTTTGTTGAGCCGGCTGCTGGCCTAGGCCTTCACCCCCCACGGCCTTCTCTTCCCACCCAAACCTCAGTTGATTATTACCCAGTCAAGTGCAGAAGGCTCATTCCTGGGGCCTGCCTTGGCACAGGCCTTGAGTAAGGAGAGGATGGGGATCTTCTGGCCCAGTGTTAGGGCCATTTGGAACAGCTCAGGGTTGCGATCCTGCACCCTGCCTCCTTGGGTGCTTCGGAGAAGCCTGGGCAACCTTAGGCCTCTGTCTCCTCCACCTGGCCCCTGACATTGGGAGATGTTCGAAGCAGTGTCTGCCCGACCTTATCTTGCCTTGTTCATGTTTGGCTGCTTAGTTCCGTTCACGCTGGTGTCCCGGGGCCCAGGCTAGGCTAGCAGGGCAGGTAGGTGGACAGTGAGGCTTTGGCCTGCAAGGCTGGGGTGTTTACGTGGCAGACTGGCCCACTGGCTGCTCTGCGCCAGGTTCCAGAGACTTGGAACCCGAAGCCTTGCAGCAGCAGGTGCCCCTGTGGAAAGCACCTGGCTCGGGTAATTGCCCCCCAAGGGAGGCTGGCTGGGGGTGGGGTGGGGGTGGAGGCAGGAAACTGGGGAGGAGTCGAGGTGGGAGGCTGGGTCAGTAGCTTTAGGGTGACCTCATGACCCCTCCGCCTGGACAACCGATCTTCACATCCATACTGCTCATTTCTGCCCGACTGTCTAGACCAAATGCCAAAGGCAGGGTACAGAACCTGGCAGGAAGGCCACCTGGGTTCCATTTTTGAGTCCAGTTCTGACAAACTATCCTTGGGCAGAACAGTGTCTAGGAATTCTGGGACATGGGACAAGGATGTTCCTTATAGTATCATCCTCTTAGGAGGCTACACTGGCTACAGGACGGATGAATACGCCCTACTGTTTCCTCTTCTCCTAAAACCTCCACGTCTGCACCCCAAAGCCCTGGCTCCAAAAGGAGGGAGTGTTTCTGGAACTTGACAGGGGCCCTCTCATGAGAGGCCCAAGCTCAAAGCTAGGTGCCTCCTTGGCCTTGTAGATCTGGTATGTGAACGTGGCCAAGTGCCAGAGCAGGGAGTGAGGACGGAGTGGCCGCCACCCACACCTCTTCTCCCCTACCTGCCAGGTGGGATCCGCATGGCGAAAGTAACAGAAGTTGTCCGTGATCCACTTGTAGATGGCCGACAGCGTGATCTTGGTGGCCTTGCTGGCCTGCATGGCCATGCAGATAAGAGTGGCATAGGAGTACGGTGGCTTCACATGCGGGTTGGTGGCATAGTCCACGTCGTCGGGGGGCGGGGCCTGCAGCCCCGGGGGCGCGCTTCGAGATGTGCATGACGATGTGGGTTTGCCGGGTGTGTGTGGCTGCCCAAGGCAGGCGGGGTCTGCCGCCAGGGGTGACCCGGGTGCGACCGAGCCCGGCACCTGGTAGTAGCCGTGGGGGTCGGTGCCCCCCGGGGGCAGAGTGGGGGCCTTGGCGTTGAGAATGGAGAATTCCTGCAGCCACTGCAGGCTGGTCAGGCTGTCATCCAGGGCGTCCGGCTCCTCCATGCCGCCCTCGGGCCCGGCCTCCTCCCCGGGCCCTGCTCCGCAGAGGCGCAGCCAGTTCTCCGCCATGTCTGCGGGGTCTCTCCGAGGGGGCGGTCAACATCCACGGGCTGAGCCGGGTGGCCCGCCGCGCTCTCCGGCCCGCTGGTACCCGAGGCTCCAGTTACACAGTCTCCAGAACACTCACTTCCATTCCGCGACCCGGGGGGTCGCCTCCTCCGAATACGAATGTGGGGCCTGCGGGAGCAACACGGAGCTGAGCGCTCTTCCCCTGCTTAGGAGGGAACCCCTCACCTTCACCCTCCAGGCCTGTGGCCAGGTCAGGCGAGCGCAGAGCCCTGGTCTGACCCCTTTCTCCACCTCTCTCCATCTGCCCTTCGAGGACTCACTGGCCACAACGAGGGGAGATGGTAGGGAGGCCCAATCTAACTTTCTCCCAAAGAGTGGGAAACTAGGATCACTCCCCAGTAGTCCGGGAGGGCAGTTCGACGCGGCTAGGGCAGGGGAGGTCGTCTGATCTTTGGAAAGAGGTCTTAGGATGTGGGTCCGGGGAAGGAAGGACACGGGGCCGAATTGTGGACAGGCAGGAAGCGATTTCCCCTAAACTCCCCAGATTTCAGTCACTGGCCCCACCACTTCCGTGGGCGACCGATGGAATGGCTAGCCAGCAGATCCCGACGCCCTCCCGTTCCGTGGCCCACAGCCCTCCCGGTCCCTTACCTGGCTCAGAGTGCAGCCCGGCCAGAGGAAGGTTCTGGAAGAAGTTCCTCCCGCCTCCCGCGGCTCTCTGTCCCCAGCTCGAGGGCTCTGCTGGTGCCCCTCCTCGCCCCCCCCCCCTCGCCCGACGGCGCTTCTCTGAGCGCCGACGGCCCGGGGACCGGCATTAAGTAGACGCTCGGAAGGCTTCTCCTGCTGCCATGGCGACGCTCCGCCCCTGTAAACAGCTTCCGCTGCGGTCATTGGCCAACCTGTCTCCAAGGAGACCGCGGGCCCTTGCTGCTCCTCTGGCGGCAACTCTCTGGAACTCCCTCGTTCTGCCGCCCTCTCCCGCGCCACCCAGCCCCCTACCCGCCACCGCGACCGGGTTCTGCGCATTCCCGCCCGACAGCCCCGCGCTGGGTCGCACGGTGGGTGCTCGGCTCCCGCCCGAGGCCCCGGGAACCCCTCCCCCACGCGTCGGGTATGACCGCTGCGGGAACCGAGCCCCGGATTCTGGAGACCAAGTCTCGGGGAACCATGGCCTGGGAGTCTTTCCCCTCACTGGTCTGCCAGTGGCCTTTGTTTGGTTTCTGAGGCCTTCCCCTGGTCCCCAAGTGTCTTCTCTGGTGCCCGCAGGCAAGTGTGACTCTCTGATGCCACCTGTCGCTTAGATCCGCAGAAACGGCCACACAGCTCGCAGACATGCCGAGGCGGGTAGGGTAACCCAGCGTCTCCCGGTAAGCAGCTCGCCCACTCACCCTGCTCAAATTCCCAGAAGCTGGCATTCCAGGGGCCTTTGCCGAGGTGCCTCTCCTCCCAGACAGCCGAGGAAGCGGAGCCAGTGGGTAAAACAGGAGAGACACGGCCTGTCAGACCCTCTCAGAGGTTATTCGTTCTGCTGATTTAGCCAGGAACTGGTTAAGTGTTAGGACTCTGGGCCCTCGCCTTCCCTGCTGCCACCAGCTCTGCGATCCTTTAATTATTGAGGAGCTGCAGGATTGGAAGTTCTCCGGTTTAAGGCGACTGCAGGGGCGGATAGGGCTCAGCTAGGAATGGAGCTGGGCGAGTGGCCTTGTATCCAGATCATGCAGAAATCTGTCTGGAACCCAAGAGCTGCTTCGCCCATTCCTCCACCTCCAGATCCTCGAGTAAAAACAGTGAAGGGTGCCCGAGCCACTCCGACAGAAACATTCACAAACGAACAACTCACTTTGTAGTTAACAGCTCCCCCTTCCCTTGTAAACAGCTTTATTCACTTTTAGGAATCATGCAGCAATCCATAAATATTGCATCTTGATGTCCCCACTGTAGTGTGCCAACAAGTGTACTCCAGGGAATGTGAAGGGTACACAGACGGCACAAACAAACAGCACACACACACACACACACACACACACACACACACACACACACTTGCACACACCAGGTGTGCAGCCCCTAAAACAAAGTGAGCAGCCAGCATGCCAACACCAGGTGGACAGGACTAGCTCCCCAGTGAGATGGCTTAGTGTTTGGGTCCAGATGCCGCAGGGGTAGAAACTCTGGGGGGATGAAATTAGGTAAATCCTGACAAGGAGACTGTTTCGAGTGTGGCATCTGATGGAGATACGCCCCGTGGATGGGCTGTTTCTGCTTGCCAAGAACTAAAAGTACAGAGCATGGGGTCTGGGACAGCAAGACACAGCAATGGGTGCTGTAGCCTAGGTACTGGGTTATGTGGCTTAGGCCAACTGAGCACTTGCTGTGAGGAAAGGGGGAAGGGCTGATCAGAATGGCTTTCTTTCTTTCTTTTGAGGGTTCCTGACCACTGTGGCTACTGTTTACCTGAATCTCCTTCATCTCAGCTAGCTCCTTCCTCCTTCCAGGTCACACCACACTGTGAATACTGCTTACCTACTGCCTGCCAGGGGAGGAGGTGGGTCTATGTACCACCACCCCAGGCTAAGGGAACTTCCCTGGTGCTTTTGCTTCATCGAGAAAGTGTGGTTATTGCTCAACTTATACTGGTGTAAACCGTGAGTGTGAAAGGGACCACCAGAATGCTGGGGGGAGGAAAGGCCAAGTGGGCTTGAAATGGCTGAGTCCACAGGGTGTTCAGAAAGGGTACACGTGGGACCTCAGACTCAGTCGATCACACCTCAGGCACAACAGCAGACTCCCTCTAGGAGTGCGGTTTCCACATTCCTGGCCTCTGCAACCACACAAAAGGTACAGAGACCTGTATAGTGGTGCAGGCCTGTAATCCTAATGCTCGTGCAGCACAGGCAGAAAAATCAGAAGTTCAAGGTCATCCCCGGTTGCATACCAAGTTTGAGGCCAAACTCTCCACCCCACCCCTCAGAATCCTGGGCACTGGTGTTTTTTGGAAAGCTTTTGTAGGACCCCACTTACAAAGGCTAAAGCTCCTCATATCTCTCACCGTCATAAGTCACTCTTCCTAATCTTGATCCCAAACCATCTCACGTTTCACTGAAAAACTACCTTTTCCAAAAGCCAGTAGACAGGCATCTATTGGAGGAGCCACGAGAAATCCATCAAGCTGAAAAAGGTGGGACACCCAACAGTTTCCTGCCAGCTTGCTGCCATGACTTTGTCGGAGTGCTGAATGGGCGGCATCTCTAAGCACTGGTGGCCCATGGAGAGGCTGCCCCTCTCATCTGTCAGAGCTGAAAGGCAGGGGAGGGATACACTAGGGTAGGGAGGTCTTCTAATCCTTTGGTCCCAGGTGATCCTGTGCCGGCCGCAGCCTCCCTACTTCCCTTGGTGAGCCTGTGCACCAGTTTGAGAACCATGGGTCCACACTCTTAGCTTAGTTTCTCAACTATTAAGAGAGAGTAGAGAAAGGGCAGCCGGGTTTGAGACTCCCTCTCAATGGCTGTAGTGAAGACGAGCAATGGGAAGGGTCAGGCCTAGCACTGGACACAGGGGTGGCTCAGCAGGCCCTCCTGACTGCACCTGAGGAGGACAAGGCCTTGCAAGGGTGACGATCCTAGCTGGGGGCACAAGAGGCACAGGAGACCAGCTCTGTTAGCAGATCTGGCTTTCAACCAACCTTCTGGCTGCCACCATTGCCCTTAGCCTTGAGAAAGGAACTCCTGGTGCTCTGGGAGGCCAGAGTGCGGGACGCCTCCCTCACATGGCTAACCCTGGCCACTTCAAGTTAGGTTTCTAATTGGTCATGAGGTGCCAGAAACCAGAACCTGTCCATGGGAGTCTGTAACCAAGTTACCAAAACTCCCCAGTCTTCCTGGTCTCTCCTCAGACGAGAAAAGGCTAAAGAAGCAAGCAGGCCTGGCCCTCAGTCAACTGGCCCACTGGGCTTGGCTGCTGCATGACAGTTCACTGGAGGATCAGCCCACATGGAGGAAGGCTTCAGGTTCTTTCTGAGAGGGCAAGGATCATGGGTACAGGAGATGAGGCTGGCAGAGGGCTGCACTCCACACCCTGCCTCCATGTGAGTATAAAGTCCACACGTCTTGTTGAAGATGCCCACAGGGCCTTGGTCCAGTGAGAACAGATGGAATGCAAGGACAGGAGGGGAGCCCAGGTCCAGGTGCAGGTGCCCTCAGACAGCCAAAGGATCCCATACACAAGGCCTGTTCTCTTCAGGGTCCTCCGGGCTGCTAGATGAGAAGTGCCGGCACTGGGTATTGTGACGGTTGACTATGTTATCATCATGCTGCCAGGTACCTGGAGAGGGAAATCAAAGGTTATGGGAGCCATACCTTAGACCACGTCTACATGGTGTCTCCAGCAGGGCAGCACAGGAGTCAATACAGAAGCTAGCAGGACGTGTGTGACCTGAAACTCCTGAGTGTGTGAGCCACTCATGAATGGAAGAGTAGGGAGAAGTAGGTGCTGACATGTTCCAGGGCTGTTCCTCCCTAACTAGTCATTGCCTGTGACCCTCGGACAGATGGACACTGCAGATGTTCTTGCTCACGAACTTACCTAGCATCCATTCTGCATGTTAAGTACTTGGTTCTAGACTTTGCCTATGTTACGAGGCTGAGCCAAGCTGCTTCCTCCATGGAAGGCAGATGTGCCTAGAGCACGCTTCTGACCTACAGCCTTGTTTGCTGTGAGAGCCAGGGGGTAGGAAGGGGCTGGCACCATAGCAGGCCGGGGAGGGAGGGAGGGAGGCCTTGGGTGGGACAAAGTGTGGTGTTCAGAGCCCTTCCTCTCTACCTCTGCTTCTCATCTCTTCCTCATCCGAGCATCTGGGGTTCCAGGATGCTGTTTGTCACATATACCTCTCTCCCAAGCCCTGGCTGCCTCTGTGCTCAAAGTAGAAACTCATCCCTGCGACCTCTCTGCTTAATGCTCTGATGTAACCTACCAACACCTGCATTTGCTCTTCCTACTCACATCCACATCTGCATGGCACCTACCTGGGCCTCGTCCCTAATTCATAGGTATCAGTGGTCTGATCTTTGGCAGGCCACCTTACTTAGGGCCTTGGCTTTCTCATATGTCCAACTAGGTGAGTATGGCCCTCACAAGTTTGCCGTGAGGCCGGCATGAGGCCACATGTAAGTATGTCAGCAGTATACCTGACTCAGAAATGTGCTGTGACCAGTTCCCTGACAGCTTGGTCTGGAGGACCCTCATATATTCCCTGGGTCCCGTCGTCCAAGCTGGCAAGTTAGCTCTCTGTTCCATTCTCTCTAGAAGAGCCAGTGTGTTCTTTATACAGTGACAGGCAGGGCCTTACACTTTCCAGGCCCCATGGTACATATATACACTTTTGCACTCTGGAGCTCAGAAAGGTGTGTGGCCATAGGAGTGGGGTGGGGGTGGGGCTTTTCCCGTATGTGAGGTCAGCTAAATCTAGTGTTGTCCTGAGACCAACTTACAAATGGCTAGTCAGCCTCAGGGTCAGCAGGCTGAAGACACAAAGCCCTGGAATGGCATACATGCTAAGATGAAGCAGGTATCAACTGCTTATTCCTCGTAAATGTCCTGGTGTGGAATCTCTCCTGAGGCTAGAGTGACAGTCCACAGTGGAGACCCAGGAAAGGAGGGGAACAGGGTCTTTCACACCTAAACTGCCATGGGCTCTTTGCTCCTTGGAGCATGAGTCAAAGGTGCTTCTTCCCCTTGGCAGGTAGCACTCTGAGTGGAGGGGAGAGTGTCAAGAAAAAGGATGTTCAGTTAGGAACCCCAGGTAAAATGAGTGGGTCGTTCAATTATATAATTTGGTAGATGTCATACCTATTCCTCAATGTTTATGGGGCAGGACTCCGGAGCTGCGGCTGTTCAGTAGGAGAGACCAAAAGCAAACGGTAAACAAGAGAGAAGACACACACACGCACACACACAAGTAAAACAGCAGCAGCCACATCACCAGCACCATGGTCACTGCTGCCAGCATCCATGACACTGGGCCTGAGGCTGTCCTGACCAAATTCACGGGCGTCCTTATGCAGCATCTGCTACCCTAGGGCTGCAGACTGTCCCTTGTAGAGCAGGCTAGGGTGCAGAAGAGCCTTGTGCAGGGAAGGGATACGGTGAGAGATGAGGTGTCCTTCACCTGCTGCTGTTGCCTCTGCCTCTCTACAGCCCGCTCAGAGGACAGCCTGGACAGAGCTTGGAGACCTGAACTCCCTGGGGGCGGGGGACAGTGATGCTTTCCATTTGTTCCCTTTTGGGGAATCAGAAATGAGGGGAGGAAGAGACCTCCAGAGGCTGGCAGACTTGGGGACACTTGGCACGGCTCTCTGTGTCCCTACTAATGTGCTGATTAAACTTAAGGGCTGTTTCCCCTCAGAGCCTGCCTCTGCAAACCTTCCCTAAGCATCTCTTTTAAAGACAGGATCTCACTTTGTAGCCCTTGCTGGCTACAAACTTGATATATAGACGAGGCTAACCTCAAACTCATAGAAAATCTGCCTGCCTCTGCCTCCTGAGTGCTGGGACGAAAAGTGTGCATGACCACATCTTAATTTTACATCATGAAGCTTGAAGAGAGGAGTAACTTGAACTTCAGGTCTGTATATATATTTTTAGATTTTACTGCAGAGGACTACTCCTGTATTACTCAGTCATGTAAAAACTGTTTGTATTTTCACTAAAACCCGTTATCTCCTCCCTTTTCCATCACATATATTACCCAGGGCCTTGTAAGAATGTTCACCACCCCCATCAGTCTCTGCCACCCATGTACATCCTTAGAAGCCACACTGACTTCGCATGGTCATGCAGTTCCTATCACACCCCCTTCCAACCGTCAGGGGCACTTTCAGAATGTACTGGGCTCTAACGTGAGGGACCAGACACTACCCTCTGTCTTGGGGCCTTTGAAGGCCTGGAAGCTTCTTGGCGGAGAAGAGCTACAATGTACGGCGCCCTCTAAGGCCCTCACAACCCTGCTGAGGATGGCTTTCTTAGCGGAGTGTGACACACGTGATCCAGGGAAGCACCCTCCACCCTTCTTGGCCTTCCCCTGACTGTGCTCTCCACGTGTCCCATGACAGGGAGGCACCTATTTAAAGAGGGACCCAGACTCAGGCAGGGCAGGGCCGGTGGGAAGTGACCCTTTTGGGGAAAAAAGAGTATTCTTTAGTATTCAATAGTGAGGAGCAAGCCAGCCTGTGGCTCTCAGGGTGGGCTGAGAGTTCACCAACCGTTGACTGTGAAGGTAGTTAGTCCGGGAACCTGCATGCACTCTCCTGGCTCTGCCCAGGAGATACCTCAGAGTAGCCGGGCACCTTTGCTATCAGGGTGGTTGTGGCAGAAGCAGCAGAGGGACAGTCTCCTCCCTGCAAGAGCCCCTGGGCTTTAGGGCACTTCCTAAGGCTCTGTGTACACTGAGTGATGTTCACACCCTAGTCTCTCCTGACAGCACCGCAGGTGACTGACTCCATGTCTGGCCAAACTGAGAACTCCATTTCACCTCAGAAAGGCCGGCTCTTGACATTACCGTAAGAAAGCCATGGCTGTTTGCTTCCTTTCTGGACTCTTCTGTCCCCAGACTGCACCCTCCCCATAAATGAAGACGCACTGACAAGCAGGTTGTTGGGAGGGAGGCTTGGAGAGAAGGAAGCAGAAAGAACAAGCTTGGTTTCCATGGCACCGTGGGCTGCCAAAAGCTGGGCTCAGTGTGGAAGCCCTTGTGGAGAGGCTGGCCAGCAGAAAGCTGCAGACACAGGCACCAGCCTCACCCTATGAACAACCAAGAATGCCTACCCCATGGTCCTTGCCACAGAAGCATGCCTGTCCTTACTGAACAGAAATGCGTACATTCCCACACATTCTTTCCTCCAACTCTTTAGTGTACTGAACACAGGCCCTTGCCAGTTAGGACTGGAAGCTTGTCTAGAGCCCTAAGCGAGAGCCCTTCGAGTGCACACACCAGTAAGCTTGCTGTCGGGCTGAGCAGAGGCAGGACAGTGCTGGCACAGAGTGAACATGAACTTTCACACAAGTCAGAGAACATGAATGAGTTAAAAAATGAGCAAACCGGACAGACAGGCCTACATCTGGCATAAAGACATGGAACACAAATGGACAGATGGAAGCAAGGCCAGGCGTGGGAAGGCAGGGGTGAGTGTGCCTGGTCTCCAGCAGCTCCAGTCCAGGCTTAACTGGGCAGGAGGCGGCCGTATGCATCAACGTCCTCCGCCATGCTCGGGCGGGAAGGGAGTAGTGTGCCTGGGGCCTGTGCGGGAGAAGCAGATGATCTGATGCTGTCTCTCAGGTCTCGCTGAAGGCTGGGACCTGGGACCTGTTTGTCCTGTTTAGTTTATCTTCAGGACAAACTAAACAGAATAACTGAAGTGCCCTTGGAAGGCTGGAGAAAGTTTCTCCTGAGCAGCTGGCTTCCCTTGCCACAGGCTTGCATGGGGCCGGGGCCTGCTGGGACCGTACCTGGCACAGGCTGAAGGAGCGTGGCGGCCACGGAAGGAAGGGCCTGTGGCTTAACACCTTCAGCTACTTCGCTGAGCGATAAAGCACTGGACCCAGGAGTGGCTGTTCTGAAGCTGAAGCAGGTCTTCACCGGGCGACACGGGAATCACAAAGGGCGGTGTGAAGGGAGTCTGTGCTGAAGCCAGGAGGGACATCTGGCCCAGGCAAGGCACTTACTTAGCAAGTGGGTTTTGATACTACTGAAAGGGCACACTGAGGCCAGTGCTCAATTGTGGTCTGTTTTATTTTTGGTTTTCAAGATGGTTTCTCTGTTGTAGCTCTGGCTGTCCTGGAACTCGGTCTGTAGACCAGGCTGGCCTCAAACTCAGAGAGCTACCTCCTTCTTCCTCCCAAGTGCTATGGTTAAAGGCATGCACCACTGCCGCCCGGCTTAATTTTATTTTTTGGGGGGCCTAGGTCTTGCAATTGAGCTCCTGGTCTGTAGCTTGCAGTGATCTGGCTGCCTCTGTTTCCAAAGTCTGGGATTATAGGAGTGTGCTAGTGTGACTGGCCTTGAATAATTAACATGGCTGGTTTGCAGATTCAGTTTGAAGTCATGAAGAGAAACGGGGACATGCTGAGAAGTTGGGGCCTCAGAGAACCAAGTATCCCTGCCCTCTGGCTTCTCATTTGGGATTCAAGGCTTACATGTGTGATCACTGTAGACCTAAAGCTCACTGGATCAGAAAGCCATTCATTGGCCTGCAAGATCTTTTAGATTTCTTTGTGATCCTCAAACATATGTCCCTTGAGAGCTATGGTTTCCATTCTAAAAGCGTAGTCCTCCCTTCCAAGGCCTCCATGGGGAGGTGTCTGACTGCTCAGACTTCCTGAGGATGAACACAAGACTGTCCACCTGCTGTGGGGTCTGTAAGACTGTGCTGGAAGGGTCCGACCAAACAGTAAGGTGTGGGTGGGAATTCTGGCCCGTTTCCTTATCCGGATACTGAGCAGGAGCTGCTCTGTGTAAAGCCCAAGGCTTCCTGGGGCCTCTGCTTCCTCTCAGCAGCTGGGCTCCAGCACCTAAGCACACCCTAACCTTCCTAGCCACAACTGCTGCACAGGCTGTAGGTAGGTGCACCATGGGGAGAGCAGGGGAAGAGCAGAGGGATGTCTCCCATCAAGTTCATGTTCAGCAGACTGCCACTCACCGGGTAAGCAGACCTCAGAGCACAGCTTATTGTCCAGTGCTTTCACGCTTGCGATGTCAAAGTCATTGTTATTGTCACACTCCATGCCTAGAAATGCGCATGTCCTCTGGCCTGTAACGGAGTTAATGCAGTTAGACAAGGGCTGGCTATGTTTTCTCTACTTTGCTGTCCTTAAAATAAAAGTCTTAAGGATGGAGACGAAAAGAAAAAAAATCAAATCATGTGTTAAAAAAAAGACGATAAATCAAGTGAGTAAAGAGTGGACAAAAGAACCGAGTTGTGTGGGCATGTCCGGGTTCTCGCATCATCCTGGTTCACTGACTCCTTCCTCGGCCCTTTTCTAGTTGCTGCTCTCTAATAAGTCTGATCCCTGCAGAGAGCTGCCAGACACAAGTAGACAGACCACTGTGGAGGACAGCCGCACCCAGGCCAGCCCAATGACACCATGGCCGGCAGAAGCAGGAGACAGCCATGAGACAGTACCCCGTTCAGGCCTGTGGCTCTCAGGCACAGTGGGGTATGCTTATGACCAAAGGTTCTGCAGAATCATACGCATAAAATAACTCATGGCCTTGGTTCCATAATTTTGCACATTGCATCAGAATGACTGTTCACAAAATTATGTTTTACTCTCAGGAGACTGAAGTTGTTACTTTGAGGATGTTTTCAAGCAACTGTCCCGAAGACTGCAGTCACTAGAGAAAGCTGGGAAAGTTGAAGTGATTTTTCCTTTCGAGTTCCCCCTTTCTTTCTCAGTGATGGGAGAAGAGGAGAGCCCTCCATGTAAACCATGAAGACCCGGGTGGCAACAACCTGACCACCCTGTGCTTCTTAGAAGACAGTGTTCTTTGGGGAAACCATCACTCAGGGTGACTGGCTTGGGCTCTGAATGACCTTTAGAGGCAGTGAAGCTTCAAGCCCTGGGCAGATGTGCAGGGATGAGGAGGCCAGCCTTGAGACTCCTCTCTTTTAGCCTCCTGCCAGTGGGGCTGTCACGTCCACATGCACCCCTGACACCCCTGAAGCAACGGCCAGCGCTAAAGCAGAAGCAACTAGGAGGACATCTGTTGGAGCGACTGCATCCAGGCCACGGCACGCATGCCCACGGCACACATGCCTGGGAGCAGAGGGAGGGCATCTGGCTTCCGGGACAGGTATGGTGGCTTCTCTAACCATGCTCCCCCTTCTCCTTCCTTGGCCCACAGGGCATTACTTCTTCTCCAGCCTCACTGGGAACAAAACTCTGTTAACTGAAGACCAAACCAAAGGTTCCAGTGATGTCTAGGCGAGCCCAGCAGGGATGCCCGTGCTTCCCAGCCACACCCTCTTAGATGTTCTGGACCGGCTACCAGAGTCCTGCCTCTCATGGGGAAGAGACCCTACTGCTGCACTTGGGAGCCCAGGGCAGCCCAAGAGCTCAGCTAGAGAGCTGTCACAGGAGGCAGTGTGGGTACAAAAAGAGACAGTGTCTTCTGCAGCTTTCCCCCTAATCCCGTGGATTCTGAGTCCCAGGAGGAGCTGGGAATGTCATGAAGGTCACTGATAGCCTGTTTGCCTGACATGCCATCGAGAAAACCAGCCCACAGCCACACAGCTAAGCACTGCCACTGAGTCACAGTCGTCCCCCTTTCTTTACCCCTTAGCAATACCCAAGGAGAGAACATGAGAAAGGACCGGGTCTTTTACCATCTTCCTGCACGGGTGGTCTATCCTCTTCCTCTATGATATCATTTCCCTAGGACAGAAGGAAAGCCCCATGAGTCTCCCAAAAGTCAGAGGAGCCAAGTCAAGACAAGACAAATCATCCCTGTGGTAGTTATTTCCATGGTCTGCATCCACACATACTTCCCACCATGGCCAGGGGACGCCTGGCCAGCTGCAGGTATATGCTCAGAATGGGTGGTCAGAATGTCCTCACTACAGCTTACCTGACACTAAAGTAGCAGTAAGAGCTAAATGAAAAAGCACATCAAAGTCAGGTATGGGCACATGCCTGTAAGCCCAGAACTTGGAAGGCAGAGGCAGGAAGGTCACCTGTAAGGCCAGCTTGGTCTATCATAGCAAAGTCTAGGCCAGCCTAAATTCTTAGTGGGTATACATAGTTAAACCCTGTCTCAAACCAGCAAACTAGACAAAATATAAAAGCAAACCATGAGATCATAAAACTTTCAGAAACTCTTTAGGGGCCAAGTACCACCCAAATGTCCTGAAAGGACCTCTATCAACCAAAGCGAGCCCTGGACCGCACAGGGGTGGGTGCACGGCACACCAGGGCATCTTCACTCACAGCTGCAATCCTGTCTGCCTCTGCATAGGGCTCCTGAATGGGGTGTGGAGATTGGATCCAAGAAGTCTCACTCGAGACAAGCATCTGTGTGTCTTGTGGGGAGCACTTGAAACCCTGTGACCCCAGGAAACAGATTAACTGCAAGACAGCAGGGACATTCCTGAGGTCTGTCAGGGTCTGGCATGGGAAAATTCCTCTTGAACTCACTCCCTGTGGATCATGCTAGAACCAGTGTCTCCTGGTAACAGGACAGTGCCCCAGGCCAGAGTTCGAGGCTGCTCTTACTACCCACTCTCCCCTTCTAAATGATCTGGACATGCCACCCAGGAAGGCTTCTCCAGCATTCCTCGGCCTCAGCTGCACAGTTAAAGAAACTGGCTGTGGGGAAGGCTGCTGCTGTCTGCCATCTAGGTTACCTCTGCATCCTGTTCTCCAGCTGCAAGGCCAGCAAAATTGCTGTCTGGGGACTCCGCTGGTGTCCCCTGTAAAAGAGCAACAAACCCCAAGGGTACGGTCATGGCAGGCTCTCCAGTTAGGCTCTTATGACATCAAAGCCAAGGCAAGCGTTCCTCAGCACAAAGTCTATGGCTTATAGAAGCCATATCTAAGGGAGTGCCATGTTCCTGCCAGCACCCCAGCCAGCACCAGGACATGTACGAAGCTGCCTGGAACCCATGTGTGAAGCAGAGAGCAAGGCAGATGGGGCACTTCCTTCCCTTACCTCTCCTTCTGAGGGAGCCCTGCTGGCAGCTAGCGGGGAAGGCAGGGCCTCTCCCTCTTCTTCAGTGCCAGGGGCAATGTAGGAGCCAGACATGGAGGACACTGTGTCGGTGCTGATCTGGGAGGATGCCATGGACATGACTGACTGAGCCAGGCTGCTGCTAGCAGGGTCTGTGGAGAGGGAAGTCAGGGGAGAGGGGCGGGACCAGGATTACTAAGGAGCAGTGCGCCCTTCCTGCACTAGGCCACAAAGGCTGCATACTGCCCTCTCCAAAAAAGGTTTAGACTGAAGGTCTCCCAAGATTCTGCTCCAGCTGTGACAGAGCAGAGGGAGCCTCACCATGCGGGAAGGTGAGTGAGAGCCCTCCCTCCCCAGTGTGGGACCTAGTTAGTGACCAGCTTTGCTGTCCCATCCCCAAGACAGTCACAGCACAGCTGTGGAGCAGTGAGGGAGGCACCTGCAGCCTCTCCTGACCCCTCAGGTACCTTCTGGGGAGGAGATGGTAGAAGAGAGCGGAGTCCCTGAGCAGGATGACTGGTCAATAGCCCCTGAAGACGACAGGGTAAGGTTCTCACTCTCTGGAGTCACATCACGTCCCTGGGGGAGGGATACAATGGGGCATGAAACCAGCGCAAACCCAGCATATGGACAGGAGGGTAAGGGCAGAGCTGGGTAGGGACGCAGAGGAAACAGACACCAGGAAGGACACAGTGACAGGAGAGGCGGCGCTGGCTTCTGTCAGCACACTTTTTCAGCCAGGGCCCGGAGTGACTTTGTCCCAGGGGAGTGCACACGTCAGTCAGCACCTGCCTGAGGCCCAGCATCTGGTGGAGCACACAGAAGCTGCAGCTCCAATGACACAGGTGGCCCAGCAGCTGTCACGGGGACATGCTGGCATTCTGACCAGCTCTCCTTCAGAAGGGAAAGAACATGAAACCAGCAGGACCTCACTGCCTTCAGGACCCCTCCACAGGAACGACAGGGCTCCTGCTCAGCAGATCTGAAGCCAACTCCACCTCCGCTTTCCGCCCACCAATCCCTCGGACACAGCCTTGCCGTCCTGGCTGGACTTTGGAAAGGTGCAAGGACGGTTCTCCAGGTCCCAGGCAGGCTGCTTTCATCCTAGCTCAGGCCTGCAGGACTGAGGCTTCCCTGGCTCTGCTGGCCTCCTACATGTGACATCAGAAGCCTTTGCACGACAGAGCTCTCCCTGGATCTCTTGGCCTGCTCCAAGCTTCCTCTGCATGTTCCCTCCCTCCCTTGTCTAAAACCGTCAAGGTCCATCCTAATGCTACCCTCCACAGCAGCTTTTCTCATGTCCTCCACTAGAGGACATCACTAGAGGAGACCGCACATCACGCTGCATAGCACTACTTCATGGTTTCTTCTGAGGACTCTGTCTGCCCCTCTCTTGAGATAGCCTCAGTAGCAGGCTGGCACTTAACTTGATATGTAGTTCGGGCTGGCCTCAAACTTGTGACCCCTGCTTTAGCCCCCAGTGCTGGGACTACAGGCAACCCGTAATCCTACCTAGCATGTGGGAGGTGAGGCAGGAGGATCTGGAATTCAAGGTCATCTTCAGCAATACCATGAATTCATGGCAAGCCTGAACTACGTGAGACCCCAAGTGAACCCCCCCCCCCCCCACACACACCACCACGTATTCCCTCAAGAATACTTACTGGGCAGCAACAATGAACAATGCTCTCTCAACTAGACATGAACTCCTGAGGATGGAGCACTTTCCCATCTCTGAATGCCTCTGGAACCCAGTTTGCTGCCCTGGACAGTGCCTGGCTAATAAGGTCTCTCAGTTCTAGGTCTGTGTGAGGGATGTACAAGGTGGAAAGTTCTAGTCCTTACTGCTGTCCCACCTCTGCCCTGCACATCTCCCAGCACATTTCCACTGCTTTCTCGTGTCAGACCCTCTTAGATGTCCACACAGCTCTTTTCCTCTGTGGGTCCCTGCTCCTGGACCGATGGCCGCTGCAGTGCTAATTTCAAGGGTCCCCTCCACAGGGCCATCTAGGCCACCGTCGCTCCACTTCCCAGCATGTCAGGCCACAAGGACAGGGCCTTTTATGGTTTCCTCTCTGCTGTGACCTCAGTCTGTGAGATGGGGCCAGGAGCAAACAGGCTGCAGACACTGGGGAACTTCCGAATCTCAGGAAACCTCTGCAGCTACCACCTTGTAAGGTTCTGGAAGGCCTAGTGAACTGGTAAAGCGGGAGGACCAACGAGCCATGCAGGCAGCTGCCTGGTGCCAGTGCCCGGGAGGGGGAAGAAAGCCAGTTACCTCTTCAGGATGCTGGGCTGACAGCCTCTGAGAGAGCTGAGTCTCTGACTCACTGCACGAGTGCTCATCTTCCTCTTCATGTAGCACAGAAGAATTCTGGGAAACGGATCTGGAAAAGCGCAGAGGAAAAGCAGCTGAATGCACGGTCCACTCGGGAGATCAGTGCTGGCCCGACCTCTCCTTGCTCAGGCCGCACGGGAGCACTGGAGGAGCCAGGCCGGCTCTCGGGAGCACTGGAGGCGCCAGGCCGGCTCTCGGGAGCAGGGGAGAGGTGCGCTGCAGTGGGACAGAGACTGCTCTGCTCTAGCCCCTCAACTTTGAGAAAAGCACCAGCAACCCCCTCGCCCCTTGACCTGTGAGATAGCCTCCTTTGCCAGAGAAACTGTTATGCTTGTGTCCTATGGATTTAAATGTTCAGGATATAGAACCCTTCCGTTTCTCTGACTCCAAGGGATTCTGTCTACAATACAATGTCCTTTTCCCTATACATCACTTTCCTCACCACCACCCATACCCTGCCAAAGAACACCCTAAACAGACACCTAATGCTATCTCTGGGGAAAACTGCCCCTCCCTCACCACTGCCTCTCAGGCCTTCTGTGAGTGAGCAGCATTGGGGACCGGGAGAGTCTGACCTAGGCTGTGACTGACAACGCTGAGGAGGCAAAGATGGCTTTGAAAGCTTTCAAAGACAACCCAGGGAACAGTGGTGGGCATCAACTACTTACTTGGACAGACTCTTTTTGAGTTTGAGTCCTTGGTTGCTGCAATCAGACAGGCGGTCAAGAGGGGACAGTGTCCTTACAGGGGGCAGATGGCCATCACTGCCATATGATGGTAGCATTCCTGAGAGGTGGCCATCTCCAAGGACATGAAGTGGAGGAACTGCTGGGGATGGGGTGAGGGGCCCATTGAGGGCCTCCAGGAGAGACACCACTTCGTAGCCTGGTGGAATATTCTCTGAGGACTACAAGAATCAGAGATAGGCCAAAAATTAGGTACTTTTTGTATTAGGGTATGATCATGCTTCCTACTGGTCATTAAAAGATGAGTTTTGTTTTCAGGCATCTGCTCTGTTAGAAAAGCATTGGTTAAACATAAAGAAGGTCAAGTGTTGAAGAGCCACAGGTCCTAAATAATTCTTCACAAAGTCTGTCTTTCTGACGGTAATGGAAATAAATGCTCACTATAGGAAATTTGTAAAATACATCAAAGATGAAAAAAATTACCAATAACCAAATCACCCAAAGTAACTTTTGGTGGCAATCTAGTGTATTTTTCTAATTATTTTATTTCTATTGTTTATGATTTATTGCTAATCTATGAATGACAGTTTTGGGATGAAGAGACGCTCAGTTGTAAGGGCACTGGCTGCTCCGCAGAGGACCTGAGCTCAGCTTTGCAGAGGACCTGAGCTCAGAGCCCAGCTCCACATCAGTAGCTCACAACCATCTGTGACTCCAGCTCTAGGGCCCTAATGCTGCCTTCTGACCTCCAAGGGCACCTGCACTCACATGTGCGCGCGCACACGCACGCACACACACACACACTAAAATAACAATTCTGAATCTTGCTTATTTAATTAAACAAATATTCCTCCTCTCTTTCTTTTTTGGTTTTTCAAGACAGGGTTTCTGTGTCCGGGAACTCACTCTAGTCCAGGCTGGCCTGAAACTCAGAGATCTGCCTGGCTCTGCTGGGATTAAAGGTGTATACCAGCATGGCCCAGTTCCTTTTTTCTCTTTCTTTTTCTTTCTTTCTTTTTTTTTTTTTTTTTTTAAGATTTATTTATTTATTATGTATACAGTGTTCTGTTTGTATATATGTCTGCATGCCAGAAGAGGGCACCAGATCTCATTACAGATGGTTGTGAGCCACCATGTGGTTGCTGGGAATTGAACTCAGG